GAATCAAGTCAAGTCAACCAATAAGGAGAAAAAGTAGGTTTTTCTCTCAAAGCAAGAATGTTTATTTTCATTAATCTAGCAGTTACACAGGAAATGAGCGCAGAATACAGATAAATCTTAGGATAAAACATTGATTCAAAATTTACAATCTTAACAAGCACGTTTACACTATTACTAAACCAATAGAAAAGTTATTAAATAATCACTCTAAATTGCTTTCCCACGTGCAACCACATCACCCCTCTATTTTTTTTTCAAATTTTCATAGAAATACTATATTACACTTTTTACACATACACTAAAAAGACACTACTGGCATCCACCACTGGGATGTTTTAAATAAAGCTTTCGGTAAAAAGATTAATCGCAAAAGTTATCAGCTACTCTAATAACTGTAGTGGAATGGTTGCGATAAGATTTTATTTTTTAAATGATCTCTGAAAGCTTGGCTAATAATTTCAGTTTCAATCTCAAACATGTTCACTTGTACGTAAACAGCTTTAATTTTGGTGATTATTTTCAAGGCAGCTAGAGAAAATCTGTACATTTACAAAGCTTTGAACATTTCACTTTTATACACCCTTCTGTTGTTCAGTCATTAGTTAAGTCATGAGAAGTTCTAGTGGCAAAAACAAATTAAAACACTCAACATTTTATTTTGAAATAACTACAGAAAGTCAACTAACATTCCACTGTTGATTTCAACATAATGAACAAGAAAAATAGTGATATTACCGGTAGTCAAAAATACATTATTGTAAAAATAAAATTTAATGAGATTGTGTTCTGATATGCTGTGGTAAAATTTGGATTTAATAAATGGGTGAGACAAAGTTAGCATGCAAGTTTCCAAAATGTGAATTTCTTACCACAAAAGATTTTGAAATGGTTGTATAGTACAACAAGGCATCTTTTGTTCAAACACATGAAATGAAACATGAAAATTTGGTAACGCAAGTGAGAAACAGATTAGTAAACTACCGGGGTAAATGCTTTCAGGGACAATTGTTGGCTAATTTTTGTTTATTTTTTTTTACCTGCAGACATCAATAATGTGCAAATAAAACATGTTATAGATAGACTTTGTAATGTAGCAAATTAGCTTCAGACTAAATTAAAAATATTGTCTGATAACATCTGCATGCTCTAGGTCTGAATTATTGTGAAGATTTGTTAACATTCTCATTTAATCTTTGTTTTTACATACTTTTCTGCAGCAAATGAAATTCAGCATATCCAGATTTATTGCCCAGTGAGTGGAAAAAAATTGTACATATTTAATTGATATTAAAGCTGGTATAAGGTTAAGTCAGCAAGTTTTCAATAATACATGTATTTATATTCAATAGTAGTTACACTCTCATGATGGATACATGTACCACATTTCAAAAGATGTAAAATTTTGGCCTAAAGTATTGCCAGACATACTTTTCTGTATTTTATTTGTAGCCTCTGATGCATGAAGTAGTATGTGCCATATACCAAATGTCGCATACAACATTTTACAACTGATGTTTCAAGTGCAACTTTCTCAAGTAGTCAAAATTTGATGAGAAGGATTGTCCCTTAGGATTAGTTTTTCTGTGCAATGCTTTTAGGCCACTTCCTTCCAACGAGAACTCATAACATCTGTTTCATCAGCATCCAGGTGAACTTCACACATATCACATTTTATACTTCCAAGGTTAGTTATATTGAGCTTGTTCCGAAACGCGATTTGAAACCTCATTAAAGATGGACAGTTTCTGACGTGCATAAATTATGACTGCCATAACTACCGGATTTTGTGATTTTTCGAATGGGCAGAATCCGTACATGTACTGATTTCACTTTGTGGCTCATTTTACTACATACATTATGTTATGAAGACTTACAAATAATTTTTAACAGGTAAACAATTTTAAATTCACAAATACAAAAATGAATTTCTACATGTGTCATACATTATGGAGTTCTGTATTGACTGTGAAGCCTCACTCTGCTATGTCTCTTTCTAAAATGCATCATGTATAAGAGAAACTGAATACAAACAGCTAAATTATGTGCATCCCAGTGACGACCAACAGTAAGTGACAGTGAAATAGCCACAGCATATTCTTACTGCAATGACAAGCTTTTTATAAAGTTAACTCTTTCAATGCCTCCCCTGCTTAAATTTAGGTTTCTCTAATTTCTTTGTTAATTTTGGACCAGATTAGCTACTTAGTACATTATTTTCTCTATTTCTCTGAAGAAGCGATTCAGTGAAAATAAAATCAAGTGAATAGACCTATTTTCATATATTTTACATTCAACTCAGTGAAAATAAACTCCATACAAATCAGCCAAAATATCTTAAATCCATCTAAAATAAAGTATTTTACAGTACATAATTTTTGAATATTATAAAAAATTTATATGGATATATTTTGTGAAGGATGACAGCAATTTAGCCGTTCAAAAAGTTTTCAATGTATTTGTTTTTTAGCCATGGGCATTAATAAAAAACAATGATGTAAACAGAAATCTTTCCTGGTGTCACAAAGATGCGTCAACCTGTTGCAATGGCCTTACTTGACATCAGACATAATCCTTTCGAGACGTTTGTCCTGGTCAAACAAATTCAGGAAGACGCTTATTATTCTGGGGTCACCATGGAAAACTGTTTACATAGATGAACTTTTAGCATAGACTAATATAAAGGCTCACTGAAAAAACTACATAAAGGCTACTTATAAATATTTTCAAATAATTTACAGTAATTATTTTTATCATCCATTTGTTTTTAGATATATTATTGAGAAAAGAATTTAATTTACTCTTATCAGGGGGACTTATAATGTCAAAGTCTAATTTATCAAACTTTTCAGCAACCAAGGTACATTCATAGTGTAGTTATACAAGCGTTTTGTTACAATCTTCATGAGAATAGGTAAAATTCAGGATTTTAAAAATGGTTTTGTTGACCCTACCAATACACTAGTCATGAGCTTTAAAAATACATCAGTAAGTGAGAGCAAAACACTTGTGTCATGAAATTATACCATTTCCGGTCACTAAACTTTACAAAAAAATCAATCAATCCACTGAAAAAAGATGTCATCACAAAATAAAACTAGAGATATATCTGTCACTGGTGGTTTCGCCTATCTGAGGTCATAGTTCAGTTGTGATGGAATCTGAGATGGATAGATACTCAACGTCTATTGCACCATTCTTCGCTATTACACATAGAAAAGTCGCACTGTAGATGTACTGACCAATAACTCTTCATCAAAAAATTTGGTTTCTATGGTAACATTACCACTGGAAGAAAAAAAAGTATGTGTATACGTTACACTAGAATGAAAAATATTCTTCAGGACCTCCACTAACCTTTCTCCAGTTGACAATTTGTCACTTTTTACCACCAAAAGAAAACAAAACATGCAGCAAGTCGGCTGAGATAGCTCCGCTGTTAGCAATAATGCACATGTCAATTAAAGAACAAAAGATATCATTAGAAAATGAACAATATGTAGGACTTGCTGTTTTTAACAAGAATTCAAAAATATCACTTTTCACCAAAAATGACAAAATATCAAAATTAGATATTTGAAGATATCACCACAAAATTAAAAAATCTAAAAGAGGACCACATGTAGTACCTATATATGTAATATAAAAGCAATTGGACTTGTGGTTTTTAACAAGAACTCGAATATATCATATTTTACCAAAAATCACAAAAATATTCATCAAAATTAGAGAATTGAAGATATCATCACGAAATAAACACATCTGAGAGAGGTCCACATGTAGTACCTATATATGTAATATCAAAGCAATTGGACTTGTGGTTTTCAACAAGAAGTCAAAAATATCACTTTTTACCAAAAATGACAAAAATATTCACCAAAATTAGAGAATTAAAGTTATCATTACAAAATGAACAAATCTGAGAGAGGTCCACATGTCGTACCTATACATGTAATATAAAAGCAATTGGACTTGTGGTTTTTAACAAGAAGTCGAAAATATCACTTTTTACCAAAAATGACAAAAATATTCACCAAAATTAGAGAATTGAAGATATCATCATGAAATGAACAAATCTAAAAGAGGTCTACCCAAGGTACATATACACCAAGTATCAAAGCATTCAGGCTTGTAGTTTTCAAGAAAAAGTCGAAAAAGTAAAACATTGACGCGGACGACAATGGACAATCACTCATATGATAAGCTCCGCTCAACAAAGTCGACAGCGGAGCTTACAAAAAAACAATCCTCCCTCCTCCAAAAATAATACTGTAGAAAAATATTTGAATATTTAATATTATCAGATTTTATGTTGCATGAATATTCATTAGATGTTAACTGGTTTGTAAAGAAATCAAGAAATTTTATTATTACATATAATTATTGACTGGATTTTAATTTGAATTATTCACCTATCAGTGAAAATGAGGCCCAACGAATAATAATCTGTTTGCATTCTGTTGTCTCAGTCTAGACTATATTCTGCAGAACACAATATAACAATGACTAATAATATTACGACATGCAGCAGAATTGATTGCTAGCTATACTGTGTATGACTTACTTTAAAACATTAGCTGGCATCATTTGTGATTCAGGGGCTGCTTCTATAATGGACTGCCATGTATTCGTAGAACTAGGAATTACAAAACCAAAATCAAAATACCATTCTGAAAGAAAGAGACAATATATCAATCAGTGAAATCTTTTCTTTCAACCAGATTACTGTAAATACCTGCTGTCATTTTTGGAAAGTTAAACTATCAAATTTTCACTGAATTGCGATGTTTCATAATAAATGGCACTAGTTCATGAACAATATTTGTTGTGGCTATCAATAATATTTTTGAACTGGATACAGCTTTTGTAATCTGAGTTCTACAGCTGAAGCATCTAAGCTTGTGAGGGTGCATTAGCTGTACGAGTAAGGGCCACAAAAGCCATATCCAGTCCATATAGGTTTTATCATATACATTATGGATTCTGTTAAAAATAAATACAATTTATCTGAGCTATTGGTTTTTCATTTGTTTCAGTTATTAATCTTATTTATTCCATTTATTCAATCATTCACACTGGACTGATATTTGTGTGCTCAACACCAGACACCAACAAGACGTGCATGTGTTCTAATATTCGGTCTATATTAACGGAACTCATTCAAAATAGAATGCATAATCAATCGAAGGTGTGCTTAAATTTCTGCACTAAATATTTATGTATCAATAGCTAGTTGTAGTATTCACAACGGATTTCAGCTGTGGCAATGTAACTGGTACCCTGTTGAAGAAAGTTTATAGTGTGTATCTTCAAATTTTTTACCATAGAAATACCTTTATAATTTATTTACTCACAGTTGATAAAATATCTCCCCCCACCAGAAAGGAGTACTCACCTTCTAAGCATCTGCCTTTAAACAAAACTTTCTGTTCTAACCGAAATTTATCCATCTGCTCTTGTGATGAAAAATTTATTTCTCTAGAAACACTTTTACATTTAAGAATCTTTTTTGGTACCCTCGCCTCGTGTTCAGAACCTGGCACTGATCTGTAGGGAAAACAAACAATACACAATGAACATTTAAGAAATTATTTGGTAATCAGGCCTTGTGTTCAGAAGCTGGCACTGATCTGTAGGGAAAAACGAACAATACACAAAAAGAATTTCTGAATTTTTTTTGGTACCCTGGGATTGTGTTCTGAACCTGACACTGATCTGCGAAGAAAACCAACAATACACAATGAACAATAACATTCAACCACAATTGTTATCTTAAGTAATGCAAATTCTATTATTTCTGTGATGAAAAGCACTAATTTTAGGGGCACTCTCTGTCATTCATAGTTGAGATACAAGATATGGAGATAATATTTTGAAATCCAAAGAATAAATACTCAAAATATAAAATTATAATTTGTTGAATTTGGTTTCCATAGAAACATGGGTCAATGACATCCGATGAAAAACATTTGAATGTAATGCATTGTGTTCTCTAAGCCGTTATGACGTACCATTGACGCACACAGATTTACTGTGACGCAAGTAGTTATGCTAATTTGCTGGCGCATCTTTCATGCAACAAAAAATCGTACATTGATATCACAATCATGAACAAGATAGCTCTGCTGTTATCAATGCACATTTCAAGAACTGAGGATATCATTAGAAAATTAACAAATCTGAGAGAGGGGTATCTAAAGGTAAGGTATCTAAATGTATAGTATCAAAGCAAAGAATGTCCCTTTTTCTAAAATACCGTACTTATTTGGGCAAGAGCCCATGCCTGGACAAACGCCCACCCCCCACTTTTGACACAATAAAGAAGTTGAGGTCATATCCGGGCACACGCCCAGGGGGTCTTTTTCTACACAAAACAAAAAAACTATTTTCTATTCGTTGACTGAAGTCTGTCCTGATACTTATAAAAATTGTTAATTGCGTAAAACAAGGGGTGAACGCAAAATAGCTGTGACAGCTTTCTGCCTTCAGGGCAGCGGGTTCATCGCTGATTTTTTTCAGAATCATAACAGTCAGCAAGTCTATAAAGAT